ACAGCATTATTATATTGTTAAGGGAAGTCAAGGGTGAACAGTAATAAAAACCACCCATAAAACTCCCACAGAGGCGTGCCTTAGGGCTTATATCCATAGGGTACAATATCATGCTCTTGAAATCACCCTTCCCACCCCGACAGACTCTTCAGTGAGTCTGGGTTAAGCGATGTGCATTCATTCATTCATTCACTGAGGCCCTAGTATGTTCAAGGCCCTTCACCATATTACTCTCCTTAATATGAACAATTCTGTTTCATAGGCATCATTAACTCCTCTTTACAGATAAGGAGACTGAAGATCAAAGAAGCCCAAAACAACCTCTCTGAGCTCATACAGCTACATGTGATTTGGTCCAAGTGTTTCCTCCTTGGTCAGGCCACACGGACCTCACTCATAAAGTGTCACCTTTGCCTCAGTCACTCTACAGCATACCATCTTGTTTTACTCATACAGAGCACATACAACTGTCTGAAATCATCTTTCTTCTTTTCTTTTCTTTTTAAATTGTTCTTCTCTGTCTTTCCCATGAAAATATAATGACCAACGTATTTCCAGTGTCTATAAAAGTGTCAGGCACACTGCAGGTATAATAGCTGTGGAGTGAATGAACAAATGAGTGAATGAATGAAATGGGAAACCAGGTCTCCAGCTGAGTTCTGCCTGACTCCAAAACCCACACTTCCAGGACATGGTGCTGGTTGACAGTGGCCCCTTTCCCTAGGGACTACTGCCACAGTCCTTCAAAACTCTTCCCTTTGGTCGCAGCTTCTCAGGAAGACTTCCTCAGCCCCCAAGGCCGCTCAGATCACAGTAGACAGCAGATACGCTCGGAAGGCAAACTTCTTCCACTCCACTCGATGGCCAGGTGGGTTGTGCAAGAGCCTTGTGGCTGGGTGGGGTGAGCCCTGCCCTGCCCTGCCCTACCCTGGTGGCTGCCTCACCCAGGGGCCCACATGGGTGACTGTTAAAGCCCAGCTGGACTCTGGGAGTTTCCCCAGACCTTCCTCTCGGGGGCTGTCTCTAGTCACTGTGCCCACCAACACCTTGGGCCTCCAGGGAAATGTCCCCTGCCTGCCCCGCCCTGCCTCCCACCGTGCTCTAATTAGAGCATGCTCTGGACTGTTCCTGGAAGCCAGCAGAGAGAAGCTGATGCACTCATACTGCCTTTGTAAAGGCTGGTGATGCCATGGGGGACACCTCAGAGACTGCCGTAATCACAGTGCCCTGTTAGCAGGCTCTGGCTCTGGCGGATTTCTGAACTCTTACCCAAGAACCTCTCTTCCGGGTTCCCTGTCTGATGCTCATGATAGATGGATGCTCTTCTGGGCGTCTCCAGTCCCCCCAAATGGAACGAGAGATGAAGTCCACTGCCTCCTTCTATGTAAGGCACCTGTCCCAGTGACTGACACTGGCAATGATTAAAACCCCACCCCGTGCCCATCTTCCTTACTGGAAGGCTCTCCAGGTAGCCCAGGACAACCATGACATTCACCCCTGCTGTGTACATGGGCCACCTGGGAGAGGCGTGTTCAGCAGCACTTAAAATCATGCTGCACTATACCTGTCTGTCCCAATCTTTGTCCTGTATTCCTAGGCTGAAGCTCAGGCCTTGCATATAGTAGGTGCTCTGAAAACACGTATGCTCGTGAATCTTGCAAAAAGGGCCCTGGCAAGAGTGAAGAGAGGAGTTTGACCACAGACGCAGTATTTCCTAGCTGTGTGACTGCAGGCAAATCCCTGTCCCTGTCTGAGCTTCAGTTCTGTCATATACAGTGGAGATCAAAGCTTGCAAACTACTGGCCCAGACACCTCACCTAGATTGTGAACATGTTGTTTCTGGCTCATTCAGTGTTTGATTTTATTTTAAAATTAGTTCCCAGCATTGAAAAATTGGGAGATTTCTGTAAAACCTAACGTTTTCAGCTTTTATTTAAAAATTAAGAGCCTTGGCTACACTGGACCCATAGTCTCACGTACAACAATTGGCTGGCATGGGCAGCAGCTGCCCCTTTAAATGGGGTGTTTGGACACAGTGCCATCTCTTCTCACTCCCCCAGCCTTATCTAGCATGTTTCACTCAGGTATGTTTCCTGCTGGCCCCCACAGACATCTGGGTTTGCAATCCTTGAGTGTCATCTCCGAGCCCAGCATGACCTGACTGTTCTTTGTCTCTGTGAGGTCTAAAGACAGGTGTTACAGGATCCCTGGGTGATGAAAACCATTAACACCCTGGATAAGAAGCCACTTGGGCTGAGTGATGGAGAAATTGCTGTTTCTGAGAATGACACAGAGCCTATAAATAGCCTCAGAGCCAGGTGTGTGCTGATACCTGCCTGATCTCACCTGGGCCAGAAGTCCTCAAGGGCTGGGCATGTTTCAGTTCATAGCTCAACCCAGGAACTGTCACTCTTCCTGATGCCACTGAGAACAGTACAGGTAGAGATGACTTTACAGCTGAGCCTGTGGGGGAGGTGGAACTTTTTCCTGGCTTGGGCAGGAAGGTAGTGACGATGCTTGATTTTCCAAAGAGGGTGGAAGAAGTAACATGAGTGAAGGAGTGTGGTTTAGTCCAGGGTCCTGGGGATAGGGACATTGCACCATTGATGGACCCAGCTCTAGCCAACAACGTTAGGCCTGTCTGGCCTTCAGAGCCCTCTGTGGTTGCCACTCCCCACCTCTATCGAGCCTTTCAGCTCATGGTCAATATCGCAGCTTTTTCTTGAAGGTGCCCTGACTTCTCCCAGATCTGGGCTGGCTTTGACTCGTTCCCCCTCTGGAATCTCCTCTCCACACCTTTGTGTCTCTGCCACTCAAATGTGGTTGTCTCCAGGCTGATCCCCCAGGCCGACACCTCCCTGGTCCCCATCTTCCACAGCCCCCTGACTAACTCCTCTGTTTCTATCTTGCTGTGTTGTCTGTTCAAGGCTTGCCTCTCTTGCCCTTCCCACCCTGTCCCAATGACTCCTTGATAATAGTGAGAAGGGCCTGACATATGCAATAATCCCTGATCTTGGAGTCAGACAGACCACTCCCAGCTCCAACACTTCCCAAATTCTTGGGGGCCTTGTTCTTCCATCTGTACAATGAAACTGTCTAGGCTGTGGTAGAGAGCAGAGAAGCTAAGGGCTGGGGAAGGGCTTTGAGAACTTAACTGGTTAAGCAAATGAAGGAAGCTTTTCCAGGATATGGCTGTTCATGCTTCAGTGGGGTGGGGAATAAACGGAGGGCCTCTAGGAACAGGCTTGAGGGACAATAGGGTACCACTGATCCACTTGGTGTGGCTAAGGGCTATGTGAGCTGAGGGCCTGGAACTGATGTGTGGGGTGGTTTCTCTCTTCCTCTTTCAAATCTACAGTATGCACTGACATGAGGGGATCTGGGAGACGTGCTGAGGGCCCAGATGGGGCAGGGAGTAAGATGGCTCCCCACTCAGGCCTCTTCTAATTCACAGCACAATTATGAGAAAGGAGGAGTCATTCCCCAGGACAGAGTGAGGTCCCATCCTGAGCTGGACCTGGGGAGCAACTGGGCTCTAGGATGCAACTGGGGCTTCCTTGAGAGATCAGGCCTTCCTAGACCAAGAATAGAGAAAAGATGACTGTGAGCTTCCAAAAAAGGGCCAAACCAGCATTCTCATCAGGCTAGGACACTCTACTCTGACCTCATGAATTTGCTTGGGCCAGCATTTTGCTGCTCAGTTCCTTCCCAGGAACTGATTCAGTCTGGGCAGGAAAGCCCAGAGTTGGTCCCAGCTCAAGTCCACCTGACTCCAAGGTCCACCACCTTCTTCTCTGGTCCTTCAGACCTCTGAGCCCCTGCAGCTGAAACCCACTGCTGTCTGAGACCTAAACCCTGAGCAAAGACCGTTTAGACCCTTGTCCACCACTGATGCTCATGGCACAGTACTAAACAGTTGACAAATTCCTCTGTCTGTTGTTCATTTTATCCTTGGAACAGACCTGGGGAAAAAGTACCCTTATTCTCCAGAGAGGAAACTGGGAGGAGTGGCACAGGCTGATGGTAAGGACTCCAGGATTCTTCTATCCCTGGGCAGTGCCTTTCTCTCTCTGGGCCTCAGTTTCCCATCTGGAGGGTACAGGTGTTGGCCCAGATGCTCTCACAGGACACCTGCCTATTATTCACTTACTGTGAGCCTCCCAGGCTCCTGTGAAGCCCACCTCAGCATGTGGGGTAAATCCCCTTCCCTGCGGCTGCTCCCACCCGCTTCCCTTTCTCTTCCTGTCTCGGTTTTTCACTTTTCCTTGCTCTCCCTATGGAATGGCCCCTGTGCTGTGTTACCTGCAGATTCAGTGCAGGTAGGAAGTAAGTTTCCGGGTGAGTGGGGGTGGAGGGGAGCCAGTAGTTGGCTGCCCTGGTTGCACCAACATTGTCATTCTGTGGGGTTGAGGAGGGGCAGTCAGACTCAGTCCTGGTGGAGGGCTGGGGGCCTGTGGGAGCATGACCGGCCCAGGCAGTTTCCAGTCTTGTAGGAAGAGAATCTGATCTCAGAAAGCATCTGCAGACAGGCCCAGGCTGGGACAAGACTGTGGTCACCATGGGTGAGGTGTCTGCCTATCTCCTCCTGCTACCCCTCACTCGAATTCCACCTCTCACCTCCACCTTTCTTTGACTCTCAGTGCCACTGTCTCTCTTGGTCTCTGTCTGCAGGGCCTATGGGGGGAGGGGAGGCCTATGCAAAAGGCTCAAACATAGATTTTTTTTTTTAATAGTCAAATAAAAACATCCAGATGTTTATATTTTGGAGTTAACCACGTTTTAACATTTTCCCCCTTTTTAAATTTCATCTATTGGGACCCTCACAAAAAAGGAACCGGCCTCCTTTTGCGAGGTCATGTCTGCCCCTCAGGTCTCTGGCCCTGGTGAAGTTCAAAGGACTTCATACTCTGCCGCTCCACCAGCCCGGCTGCATTGCCCACCTCGGCCGGCAGGGGTCGCCCGCGGACAGGCCCGGAGGACGGGGGCGGGGCCACGAGGCCTGACGGGCCAATAAAAGCGGCGGCGCGCGGCCGCGGCAGACTCAGCCTTTTCGGCGTCGGTGACCTTTCCTGCTGTTTTTTCCGCTCACACCGCCAGTCTCCTGCCCCTACTCGAGCGGCTCTGCGATGTTGGCGTTGCGCCGCGGCTCCCGCCTGCTCGGTCTGCTACCTCTCCCGTGCTCCTTGCCGCTGCGCCTCCCCGCGGCCCGCGCCTGCAGCGGCGGCGGCGGCAGCGCCCGCAACCCGTCCTCTTCCGCTGGGAACCCGCTAGTGTACCTGGACGTGGGCGCTGACGGGCAGCCGCTCGGCCGCGTGGTGCTGGAGGTGAGACCATGGGACTGGACCGCGCCGGACTGGGCATGGGGGACGCTCCTGGAAAGCCCTGAACCCTGGCCCGGCGCTGTGCCTGGCTTTCTGGATGGCCTTGCCTCCCACTCCCGGGCTAGGGGCCTCAGTTTCCCTTCTCTAAGAAGGGACATTGGATTGGCTTCTTCCGGTGTTCCTTCGGAACTTTGGAGTGCTGGGGAGGGGAGGCTCGCGTAGAGGAGAAAGCTCAAGGTCACGTGGTAGTTGACTAGGGCCCGGCCCCGTTGGCCGGCCTGGGAAGGGGGAGGGGCTCCGAGTCCTTACGGGTTCGGTGCCTAGACCTGAGCTCCAAGGTGGAGGGTTCGGGGGTCCGGGTCCCCGCGGCCCGGCCAGGCTGGGCGCTCACGTGGCTGCCTTTGCATAAGGCGAAGCGGAGCTCGGCTCCGCCCCGCCCCCATGGGGTCAGCCGCTGAGCGCTAGTGAATGAGCAAGAGTGGTTTTGGGCCCGCTGCCTCTGTAAGTGCGGGCCTGCTGGGCAGGCAGCGGGCTTCAGCCACCGGTCGGACCCCGGGATGGCCCTCCTGTGAGTCTGGGCAGTGTGCCAGGAGACCTTCATCCCAACTCCAAACCCAGCCAACCTTCCGGGGGCGACACTCAGTTCCTGCCACTGAGTCTTTGGGCCTTTTTAAAAAACAAAGCAAGAAGCAAATAGTTGGGAAGGTAGCAAAGGAAGCTGGATGTAGTCTTAAAGCTCGGCCCTATTCTGAACAACGGGCCTGCAGTTTCCTTTTCTGGAACATGGAGAGCCCCCTCCAGTTTATTTTAATGGTTTGGCGCCAGGGCAGCATTTGAAGCTGGGAGGCAAGAGGCCAGCTTGGATGGGGCTCCAGCCTCCACTCACCCCCAACCCTCTTGCCTCTCTCTGAGCCTCAGTTTCCCATTATGCATTGAGGAACTTGGACTGGTTCCTCTCTCGACCCATTCTCCAAGCCCCGAGTTTGATGCTTTGGGCCCAGCTGTAGTAGCTCTGCCACTTCTGCCTGGGGAAGTAGCCAGGATGGCATTGTGATCTCTTCCGACAGATTAGGAAACTGAGGCTGCCTCCTTCCATTCCAGCCTTGGGTTCAGGAAGCAGCTGGCAGAAATGATAGCTGCTTAGGCTGCCCCCTGGTTAGGGCTGGGAGTAACGGGAATGGAGTGGCACATGGTAGGTTCGCAGTCTCCGAGGCCGCTGTGGAGCTTAGGTGGTGAGGCGGTTCCTTCTTCATCTTCTCTTGTCCTTCTTCTCTCCCCACAGCTGAAGGCAGATGTCGTCCCAAAGACAGCAGGTACGACAGGGCCTGGGGCCTCGTGAATCAAGACAAAGTGGGTGCGCTGGCAAGAGGACTCCGGGCAAGGGGACCCGGGACCAGATAGGAGTACCGTGTGTGGCTCGGCCACTGTGACGCTGGGGCAGCCTTCTGTCTCTCTCAGGGCCTCAGTGTTGGCCCTGCCCACCTGTCTGGTAGTAGTGGCTTCAGTCAGTAGAAGGCACATGTAAATTCCCCTGGGATGACGTCCTCCCTCCTGGTGCCCAGTGCGGCAGGGTGGTGGCTCACAGCCCTTGGATTCTCTGCCCCGCACACTTGGTGCTGAAACAGCCAGGAGTATGTGCTCTGCCACTGAGGTCAGAGAAGGAGATGGCTTGTTCCAGGTCACACAGCCAGAGCAGACCCAGGGGGCAGGCCTAGGGTATTCCATGCCCATCTCACCTGGGGGGTTAGAGGGGGGTGCTGGTTGGAATGAGGTGTGACCCCTGGAGTTGAAACCTGGCCCTTTTTTGACCCGCCTCTCCTTCCCCCCTCAGAGAACTTCCGAGCCCTGTGTACCGGGGAGAAGGGCTTTGGCTACAAAGGCTCCACGTTTCACAGAGTGATTCCGTCCTTCATGTGCCAGGTCTGTGGCCCTCTCTGTGCTCGGGTCCCTTTTCTGTAAGTGGGGATAATAACGAGGGCCGTTTCTCAGGAGTGTCATGCGGACGAATGAGTGAGCCTGTGCCTGAAGCTTGGAAAGGACTGAGTGGAGGGCAACTGTCATGACTGTCTTGGCCTGCCCTCACCCTGAGAGGCTGGGTCTTGTCTGGGCTGCCATAGCCCTTCTCGGTCCCAGAAGTTAAGTAACAGGGCAAGGGGCAGGACAGCCCTGCCTGGCTGGGTTGCAAAAGTTGAGCCTACGAAGGGAGCGCTGGCACTGGGTATGGATGTGCGTGTGGGTAGATTTTAAGGCTTTGGAGGACTAGCGTCTTCAGACAGTCTCTGAACATGTACCCCTTTGTGTCATGCTGAGCACTTTTCATGGGAAAAGAGGAAGCAGAAGGAAAGCGAGAGGGCACGGACAAGAACACACAGGTCTGGACTTGGAACTTCTCTCTCCAGAGAAGAGCATCTCCACGGTTAACTGAATATGTTCTTTAGTCACGTGTCCTGTCTTTTGTCGGAGGCATTAGTATTGCTGTGTCACAGGTTTGGGGGGTAGGTGTTGATAGCAAGGACTTCCCCAGGGGTCAGGACCCGATCTACACTGGGTGTTGTCCTCTGTTAGGTCAGACTGCTAGGTCAGGCAGGGGTTCGTGTCCTGAGGCCAGCAGACCTAGAGGCAGGGGCATAGATGTCATGACCTTTTGAAGTCCTTTCAACCTGAATTCTCTCCCCACCCCTTCCACCCTGCCTTGGTGGCTGTCATCCTATCATGGTAAGTGCCAGTGGGTTTGGGGTGGGCTTGCTAATGTGTCGAATGTGGCGAGTGCCTGGAGGAGCAGGCAGGGAAGCTGTGGTGTGGGACAGGCTTGGCCAAGGCCTGTGGCTTTCTGCGGCGGAGGCTCCCAGCTCTTCTGCGGCTGTGGATATAGTAGGAGCTGCAGTGGGTGTCCTGAGCTGGGCTAGGGACTTCCAAAGCTGGAGGTCTTTCCGAGGCATGAAGTGGCAGCACTAGGGCCCCAGGCCAAGGTTTTGAATCATCCCTTTTTGGGGACATTTTATTGGCATTTGTGGATGCTTCAGCCAGGCTGTGTAGGTGAGGATCCCATCTCAAAAAGACGGCAACGTGGCCATGGCTGGGGCTGGCAGCCACTGCTTTCTTCTGGCCATGGAAGCATCAGGCGAGCCCTGAGGAAGGATGCCAGCCCTGGGTGGACTCTGTCCTGGGACTGCAAAGCAGAGGGACAGAGGGAAGCCACTGGGCCTGGTGAGGGGAAGATGCTGGGACAGGGAGGGGGCTCAGCATAGGGAACTAGCCCTGTGCCAGCTGCTGCTGCTCCCCACAGACCAGACGTGGGAAGGGGGGCCCCTGGACACCTCACTGTTTATCCTCTCAGAGTTGTGGGTAGAAAATTCTGGGTCTCTAAGAATCATGTTATTGGCTGTTAGGTCCTTTGAGGATCATTTAAAAACTTGCTCAGATGGAAAAATGAATGATTTGGAAACCAGGACAGTTATTGTGGCAGAAAATATTTAAGCTTTATTTTGGATGTTTTGTGACCTCTTTGCTTGAAGGGCTTCCAGCAGGGTGGGCCTTTGGTGGGTTGGGCCCCCCCCCCAGTGCTGCAGTAGAACCCCCCTGCTAGCTGTGGGTGGCGACCACTCAGACTGCTCTGTGCCTGCAGGCTGGCGACTTCACCAACCATAATGGCACAGGGGGGAAGTCCATCTACGGAAGCCGCTTTCCTGACGAGAACTTCACACTGAAACACGTGGGGCCAGGTGAGTGGGGGCCCACTGCTCCATGGTCTGAGTGCCCAGAGCTTGGACCCAGCCTCTGCCACACCTGGCAGGCCTGGAAGGCTGCAATCTGGTCATTGATTGCTCAATGAACCATGGTGCGCCTTCCTTCCTTCAGCGCTCGGGCTGGTTTGTTGGGTTTCCTTAGAGCTTTGTCATTCTGAGCTTTCAGTTTACAAACTGTCCTTTGGGAAGCTTGGTGGGGGTGGGCAGCTGTAAGCAAAACCCCAGCATTAATTATGTCACCTTGAAGACCCAAGGTACACTGTGGAAAAGTCTAGAATCAAGGCTTGGGGTCCTGTTCTCAGGCTCTACCATGAGAGCTTCCCCAAGGCCCATTTCTCCGTGTGGCTCTAGAGGACAGGCCCTGGGGAACTGCACATCCTCTGATCCCTGGTTCTTTTCTGAGCTTCAGGATCTTTAGACTTGAACGTCCTTGATGCGGTTTGAGCCATCTGATCTGCTTGTTTGAGTGAGATGTCTTCTGGGCACAACGTGGCTCATCCCTTGCTTGTCTTTGCAGGCATCCTGTCCATGGCAAATGCAGGTCCCAACACCAATGGCTCCCAGTTCTTCATTTGCACCATAAAGACAGACTGGTGAGTTGCCCCGCCCCTGGCTCCAGGCCATCTAAGAATGAGGGGCAGCCTTGCCCCTGGAGGAGGGTTTGTGTGCTTTCCGGGGAAGGTAGTTTGAGTCTGGAGATCAGCCCTGGGAAAGTCGCCCTCATCAGGGCTATGTGTCTGTGTGAGAGAAAGAGAAAGTTCCTGAAAGGACTGAGGTAGAATGTGGACTGTTCTTGCAATCCTGCCTTAATTAGGTTTTCCATTGTTGCTGTCAGTTGGAATTCCCTCAGTGTGTTCTGCATACACACAAAATACATTTGGGAAATGCTGCCCAACATATCAGACCTCAAGATGGCCTGTAGTAGAAGCCCGTTTGACTGGTTTAACCTGTTGTTTCCCAGGCTTATCTTGATAGTAGGATGCACCTTGGAAACGCTGTGGTAGACATTTGGATGTCACACCGGAGTTTTCAGCGGGCACTAACATAGGCCTGCAGATAGCCCCCAGCCCCTTAGAGCTTGCTTACCTACATGCCATGGATTTTAGGGATGTGTTCCCTGGTAAATATTCCAGTAAGGGATCAGTTTCTCTGCCCAGAGTTCCTCGTGTCCCAGCCCTGGGGCATCTGGGGTTGAGGGGACAATAGCTGGCCAGGAGCTAAGACTTAATAAAGCCCATTTCCAAGGACTTTAGGGAGACCTGGCTGGTGGGTGGATACTGGCCATCTCTAGCCTCCAGGGCAGAAGGGACGCGGACGTCTTGGCTGGGCAGGTCGCTGCCGGCTCCGCCTCCTCTTGTCCCCTAGTGGCTCCTGCAGTTCTGCCTTGGGCTGTAACCAATCGTGGCCTTGCTGGCACTGGTCTAAGTTGCCTTTTAGATCCTTGGAACTCAAGTTGAGAACTGCTCCAGACTTACATAGTTTCAGCACACTTGTTATCTTGGCTCTCACCTTATAACTCATGACTGTTAAAATACTTCCATTTACACAGACCTTTTATTTCTTCAGAGGAGTTCAATATCCTCTTATCTCCCTGAGCAGAACACGAATAACTCAGTTTTCATAGATGAGGTTACTGGGCAGTGTAGGAGAGGCAGAGCGTGCCCTGGAAGGGGAGGCATCCTCCAGTGAATTCGGGGAGCTCAGCAAGGCTTAACACCGGGAGCTTTGGGGAGTGGATCCAGCTTTTTGGTGTGAGCTCTTTTCAGAATATCTGTTTTTGGTAGATAGTTCCATGAACAAGCTGACCATGATGTTGGTTGACATGATTTTTGCTCACCTGGCTCACCTGTCCTTGCAGGTTGGATGGCAAACATGTTGTGTTTGGCCACGTCAAAGAGGGCATGGATGTTGTGAAAAAAATAGAATCTTTTGGCTCCAAGAATGGGAAGACGTCCAAGAAGATTGTGATCACGGACTGCGGCCAGTTGAGCTAATGCCCTGCGGCCAGGGTGCTGGGCCGGCAGCAGCTGCGTGTGTGTTGACTCCCCCAGGTGGCCGCCTCGGGATCCCCACGTAGGTGCCCTGTGGAGTCGCCTGCGCTTGCTCTGCCATCGCCATGTGCTTGAGGAAGCCCTCTCAGGAATGTCAGACCTCAGGACCCACCAGACTGCTTCCCGAATGCCCACCCTTCCTCATGACCCCATTTCTAGACCCCCATTGTGAACATCCTGTCACCATTCCTCATCAGGCATCGGCTGTGATTGTCCAGCCCAAGGTGGGGGGCTTTAGGTTAGTTTTCAATGAAGTTCCTGCCTTTTCCTTGACTTCTGTTCTGTTAGGTCAAGGGAAAAAGCCAGTTGCTGCAAAAAGGGCTGTTATGTACCTGTTTAATGGTGCCTTCCTAACTAGAATGATTTAATTAACGAGACTGCCTGGAGATGAAGCTGTAACACTAGCAACTCCATGCTGTGATTTGACCTGAGTTGGTGGCCCAGGTCACACAACTCCAGAGCTTGGCCTCTGGAACATAATCAGGGCTTTTGTGAAGGGTCTCATGTCTAAGGCCTTTGATCCCAGCCACTGTGAATCCCGTTGGTTTGCTGCTGTCATTTTTTGCGTAGAGTCGGGGGGGATGGGGTGGGGGAGGGGGGTAGAAGCAGATGAACCTGGGGACAAAGCCACTGAGAGCTGTGCCTAGTCAATGTGGAAAATGGAAGTGGCCTGGGAGTGCCGTGGGCTCAGGAGAAAGTAAACGTGTATTTCCTGGTGGGCTTTGATTTTTCTTTGTTTAGTAACTTAAATCTTCTGATTATGTAATATAGTTTAGCAACGTTTATTTATGTTCACCTTACATGTGACAATAAATCCTATTTTCTATAAAGACTGGTGTCGTGGTTTTAGGAAGCTGTGTCTGTAACCCAACCGAGGGTATCTAGTTACCCTGTGTCTGGTGCTAGGCTGAGGGCATTTCCGTGCACTGTCTTATTTAATCACCCCAGCCACCCTTGAGGGTATTATTATTTTCATCCTGTTTTACAGCTGAGGAAATTTGCTCAGACAAACTATTTCAGGACCAGACAAACTCTCTCAGCACCCACAGACTCTCTGTGAGCACTGACGCTACCCTGAATCCCAGCTCTGCCTCTTGCTAATTCTGACTCTCAGTTTCCTCAGCTGCACAATCGGTTAACAGTAATGCCCACCTCACAGGGTGGTGAGGATCAGCTGTGATGCATGTAAAGAACATAGCTGAGTGCCTGGCACGTGGTCTTAGTAAGCACTCTGGAGTGACAAGGATGCCGAGGACATCTCCTACGTGTCAGTTTTAGAAGAGAAGGATCTGTGATCATCCAAGGTCAGGCATGGACTTTTCTATCCTAAGATGTGCCATTTAAATGTGGAATTAACTTCTAGGTGTTTCTGAATTCACAGGGAAGGCAGATCAGGGGATAAGAGGAAGATTAAGAGCTTCCTTATAAACAGATATGGCACAGTCTGAATAATAGAATCATCACATTCTAGTCACAGTGAATAGAATTATTTCACATTGGGGTTCCCTGAATCAGATTCTGTGTGGACACAGGTCCTTATAGTCATTCTGAGGTCAGTGGCTGGAGTTGAGTCATTTGGAGTATGGGGTCCGAGTCAGGTTTTGTGAGGTCACAAGTCGATGCAGTCACTGAAGTCATGGCTGGTTTGGGTCATTTGGAGTCATGGAGAGTTTCCATGAAGTCAGTTCAGCTACATAGATTGGGAGGAAGCTCAACTGGTCTAGCAGTTTTTAAACAATTCTCAAGAGCCTCAGGGGTCCTCAGAAAAAGGGGTAGAAGAAGGGCATGGGTCCCTGAGCCCCATTTTCAATAAGATAACCTTCATTTTTTGTTATTGGGGCTCTGCAAGGAATTTCATTTGAAGAATGGGATCTTAAGCCAAATACTAATAATTGGTAATTGCTCACCCAGTCCAACATTTTACAGATGGGTAAACTGAGGACCCAAGAGGGTCCGTGATTGCCCCAAGTGAGCCTGTGAGTCAGCTGGCAGAGCGAGGGCTGGAACTCTGGACCTACAGAGGGTTTCTGCTGGAGGCCTTCCAGAATGCACAGGCCCTTTTGTCCTTCGATCTCACCTGTCCTGAGGTCACAACTTCAGTCCCTGTGCAGTTTTCGCTTGACCTCTGGGGACTCAAGGGAGGCAGGGGTGCTATTGACAAGTTGGAGGAATAGTCCCTTGAGATGACACCTGCTGGCCTTGTGGTGATTTCTGAGGGGTCTCAGGGTCACAGAGCCTGTGGGTCTTGTGTTTAGTTCACGGAGCTTTTCCTTTTGTGTGTGTGTGTGTGTGTGTGTGTGTGTGTGTGGTGTGTGGTGTGTTCCTCCATCTAGTGGACTCGATGTATGGGGACAGAGACAGTATGCAAGAATTCCCTAAAAATAGTTTCCTGAAAACGGGGCCATTTACTGCAGTTTTCTTCCCAGCACTCTGCACGAGAGCCTGAGCCTGGTCTTATTTCTGATAGGAAGCAGGAACCTATGTAAGATACAGACGTGTTGCTGGCACATGGTACCTAATGCATGAATGAAGGGTGAGTCATTCACATGCTTTCAGAGATGTAATCACACATGAAACCATGTAAACACCATGTGTTTAAATATCTGAAGTATCTCAAGACAACACGTGATAGCTTTTCAAAATGACTTCATTGAGGTATAATTTACATATAATAAAATCCACACATTGTAAATGTATAGGTCAGTGACTTGACAAATTCATACACTGAGTAACCCCCACCAAATCAACTTCAAGAACATCTTTATCTCTCCAGAAAGTTACCTCCCTGGCCCTTCCCAGGCAGCTACCGAATTCTACCACTATAGATTAATTTTATCTGTTCTAGGACTTTCAATTGATAGAATCCTACAAGATTTACTTTTTGTGTGTGACTTCTTTGGTGTAGCACGTTTGAGAACACGGAGAATGCCATAACCTTCTGGGCTCTGTAGATTGCTGCGCCATGAAAAGGGATGTGTGTAAATGTTTCCTGGTCTGGTAAGGCCTAAGCAATGCTTCTCCTAGGAATCTTGGGGTGCTGGTAAAGCATGCAGATTTCTGGGCCACCTCTGAGACATACTGAATACAGACTTCTCAGGGTGGGATCTAGGAATCCGAATTTTAAAATAAGAATTCTGCTGGCGGCTGGGTGGCTCAGTTGGTTAGAGCACGTGCTCCTAACAACAAGGTTTCTGGTTCTACTCCCGCATGGGATGGGGGCTGTACCCTAGCCCCCCGCAACTAAGATTGAACACGGCACCTTGAGCTGAGCTGCCAACAGGCGGCCAGATGGCAACTGGACTTGGAGCTGAGCTAGCTGTGCCCTCCACAGCTAAGATGGAAGGACAACAACTTGGCTGTTCCCTTTCCCCAATTCCCCAACACTGTTCCCCGCCCCCAATTCCCCAATAAAAATCTTCAAAAATAATAATAACTATGATTAATATATGTTAAAGGATCTAGTTGGAAAGGTAGACAACATGCATGAACAGATGGGGAATTATTTTAGCCAAGAAATGATAAGAAAGAATATAATAGAGATGCTACAGGAAAAAGACAGGACACCAAAAATGAAGAATTCCTCTGATGAGCTCAACAGTAAACCCAGCATGGCTGAGGGATATGTCAGTGACTTATTTGCCAAAGGATTATAGATTCGACACCAAAGTACAGTCAACAAACAAAAAAAATAAACTGGACTTTATCAAAGCAAATATTTTACATGTTTGTGCTTCAGAAGACACCATCAAAAAAGTGAAAAACAACCCACGCAATGGGAGAAAGTAATTGCTGCTGGTGGGATGTAGAATGGGCCAACTTCTTTGAAAACACGTCTGACAGTTCCTCAGATGATTAAACGTAAAGTTATCACATGACCCAGCAATATCACACCTAGGTATGTACCCAAGAGAAATGAAAACACATCCACACAGAAACTTGTACACCATTGTTTTTTGGAGCATTATTGATAATAGTCAAAAGATGGAAACAACACAAATGGTCATCAAGTAGAAAGATGAATCAACAAAATGTGGTATATCCATCCAGTGGAATATTATTTGGCTGTAAAAAGGAATAAAGCACCCTTACACGCTACAACCTGGATGAACCTTGAAAACATTATGTTAGCTAAAAGAAGCAAGTCACAAAAGACTACATAGCATATGATTCCATTCATTTGAAATGTCCAGAACAGGAAAATCTATAGAGACAGAAAGTAGATTAGTGGTTGCCTAGGGCTGAAGGGGTTGGGGAAGGGAGAAGATAAGCGGGTAACAGCTAAAGTGTATGAGGTTTCTTAAAGGGATGATGAAAATGTTCTAACATCGACTGTTCTGATGGTTGTAGATATCTGTGCATAGACTAAAATCCATTGAATTTGATACTGTAAATGGGTGAGTTAGTTGTATGACATGTGAACTCTATCTCAATAAATCTGTTTAAAAATCTGTATTAGGGAAGTCTCACAATTGGGGTATGTGTAAGCTATTTCCTTGAGTCTTCCTGTTCCTCTAAAAAGTGCTGAGATTTGACATTGGTATGGGGATAGTTTGGGCGGGTTTGGGACTCACATTTGAAAGCATCTGTCCAAGGTGAAGTTATAGTATTTTAAGCAAAGAAGCCTATTCTCCTTAGACGCAGAAGGGTAAGCTGCTTCTACTGGTAAGGGAGGAACAGGGTGCCTTGAGAGCTCAAGCTGTTAGTTTCATTTGGATCCAACGAGATGTCCCCATGACAAATTTCAGGATCCCAGTCTTTCCCAACAATGCCCTTTCACCTGGAAAACGTAGTGAGACTGTGAATTTAAATGATGATGTACTTCATCAACCTACACAGTTAAACTTTCGTTTGGTTTTGAAGTGCTATCCGTTCAGTGCCTACCAATGAGGAAATCGTTTAGAGTTGCAATGGACGCTTTCTGGTTGTCAGACCATAACTTAAGCTGAGAATTAAAGGACGTGAGTGTGTCATTTTCTTTTGGTAAACCATCAAACATGCTCAGAATAATTCATTCCATACCAGTCCTTATGGCCATCATTACTGCCTGCAGCACCTGGCTTCCCAAGGCACGGGCTTCTCTCATCACTTAATCACAGGTGATTGCATGAGAAATTGTAATGTCACTGCATGCCACGAATTCTCATTGGCAGGTAGTTCAGCCCTGCCTTCAAGTCCAAGAGCACAGCCAAACAAATCTCTAAATCCTATCTCTGTGGGGTTATCTTCCTAGGACCACTCCCAGTGTCAATTCTATATAGGATAGGTCCAAGCAGGATACAAACACAACACAGTAATTCTAACTGGGAGTTTAATGTAAAAAATTATTAACCATAACATGGGCTTACCTATTAAGGGAAAAGGAGCACTCTAAAGAATTGAGTGTCTCTCTGGTGCCCTCTACTGGTAAAGCTTAAAATAATTCCAGGTGTTATTGACAGTTTCACAAACAGGGCAACAAGGGAGGAGGATTTAGAGCTAAGAGACAATGGACTCACAAGTGGTGTATTGAGCACTGCTTCCTTATCCAATCTAAAAATCTCTGCCCTTCAATTAAATGTTTAGACCATTTATATTTAACTTAATTACCAATATAGTTAAATTTAAATTGACCATCTTGCTGTATATTTTCTCTTTGTCCCATCTGCTGTTTGTTCCCATATTGCTTTCTTTTGGATTTGAGTATTTTCTCCCAAATGATTCCATTTTGTCCTCACTATTGTCTTATTAGATTTAAATCTTTATATTTTTAATGGTTTCTGTGGGGTTCACAATATGTAGTTTCACTTATAACAGATTCCCTGCTAATATTATATCGCTTCACATGTAGTGT